CATTCTGAATACCCTTTCCCCTAGTCTGCCCTCCCCTCTATCTCTCCCCTGCCCTCTCTTATCCCCTTCCCCTTCTGTTTTCCTGTAGGGCAGGATAGATTTCTGTACCTCATTTCCTATATTTCTTATTTCCCAGTTGCATATGAAAACATTTTTTTTAAACATGTGTTTTTAAAACTTTGGGTTCCAAATTTTCTCCCTTCCTCCCACCCTCACTGAAAAGGCAAGCAACTCAATACAGGCCATACATGTGCAGTTATGCAAAACACTTCCGTAGTAGACATGTTGTGAAAAACTAACTCTATTTCCCTTAATCCTATCCTGCCCTCTCATTTATTCTATTCTTTCTTTTGACCCTGTCCCTCCTCAGAAGTATTTCTTCTGATTACCCTTTCCCAATCTGCCCTCCTCTCTATCATCCCCCTGCTCTCTTGTCCCCTTCTCCCCCTATTTTCCTGTAGGGTAAGACAGATTTCCATACCCAATTGAGTGTGTATGTTATTCCCTCCTTAAGCCAAATCCTATGAGAATAAGATTCCCTCATTTCCTCTCACCTTTCCCTGTTTCCCCTCCACTGCAAGAGACTTTTGTTCATTGTTTTGTGAGATAATGTACCCCATTTCTCTCCCTTTCTTCTTCTCCTAATAATCCTCTCTCACCCCTTAATTTTATTCTCCAGATATACCCCTTCATCTTCAACTCACCCTGTGCCCTCTATCTATCTATCTATCTATCTATCTATCTATCTATCTATCTATCTCATCTATCTATCTTCTTCTATCTATCATCTATCTATCATATAATTTTCCCTCCCACTACCCTAATACTGACAAAGGTCTCATGAGTTATAAATATCATCTTTCCATGCAGGAATGTAAACAGTTCAACCTTAATAAGTCTCTTATGATTTCTCTTTCCCGTTTACCTCTTCATGTTCCACTTGAGTCTTGTATTTGAAAGTCAAATTTTCTATTCAGCTCTGGTCTTTTCATCAAGAATGCTTGAAAGTCCTCTATTTCACTGAATGACCATTTTTCCCCCTGAAGGATTATACTCAGTTTTGCTGGGTAGGTGATTCTTGGTTGTAATCCTATCTCCTTTGCCCTCTGGAATATTATATTCCATGCCCTGTCCTTAATGTAGAAGCTGCTAAATCTTGTGTTATCCTGATTGTGTTTCCACATACTTGAATTGTTTCTTTCTGGCTGCTTGAATATTTTCTCCTTGACCTGGGAACTCTGGAATTTGGCTACAATATTCCTAGGAGTTTTCCTTTGGGGATCTCTTTCAGGAGGAGATCGTGGATTCTTTCAATTTCTATTTTGCCCTCTGGTTCTAAAATATCAGGGCAGTTTTCCTTGATAATTTCTTGAAAGATGGCTCTTTTTTTGATCATGGCTTTCAGATAGTCCAATAATTTTTAAATTCTCTCTCCTGGATCTATTTTCCAGGTCAGTTGTTTTTCCAATGAGATATTTCACATTTTTCTAATTTTTCATTCTTTTTTTTTACAGTGTCTTGATTTCTCATAAAGTCACTAGCTTCCAATTGCTCTATTCTAATTTTTAAGGAAGTATTTTCTTCAGTAATCTTTTGGACTTCCTTTTCCATTTGGCCAATTTTGCTTTTTAGGGCATTCTTCTCCTCATTGGCTTTTTGGACCTCTTTTGCCATTGGGGTAGGCTATTTTTTAAGGTGTTATTTTCTTCAGTATTTTTTTGGGTGTCCTTTAGCAAGCTGTTGACTTGTTTTTCATGATTTTCTTGCGTCATTTTCATTTCTCTTCCCAGTTTTTCCTCTACTTCTCTTACTTGCTTCTCAAAATCCCTTTTGAGCTCTTCCAAGGCCTGGAACTGATTCATATTTTTCTTGGAGGCTTTGGATATAGGAGCTTTGACTTTGTTGTCTTCTTATGGTTGTATGTTTTGATCTTCTTTGTCACCAAAGTAAGATAATATAGTCTGACTATTTTTGCAGGTTTGCTCATGATCCAGCCAATACTTGAGTTTTAAACTCTTTGTTAAGGTAAGAGTCTGCTTCCAATATGGAGAATGTACTGTCCCAAGCTTCGGGGGTTTGTACGGTTGTTTTCAGAGATACTTCTAGGGACCTGTATTTTTAGTTCTTCCCAGGTGGTATGATAAGGGGTGAGGTGTTTACTCCTTTCCTGGCCTGTGCTCTGGTCTATAAGTGACAGACCACAAGCAGTCTTTTCTGTCTCGGAACTGTGAGGAGTGTTTTCTCTCCACTGCCACTACAAGCTCCACCACACCAGCGCTCCTTCTCACCCCAGGACCACCACCCAGAACTGTGACCCAGATCCAAGCATGGGCAAAACAAGAGATTCCTGCCTCAGCACTGGCAAAGAGATCCCTGCAATCCACCTCTGATCAGCCACATGATTCCCCCTCACTCTATGGGCCGGAAGGTCAGGAGGCAGATTTCCTTGGGGAATGGAGCTGAGACCACATGCTTCTTTCTCACCACCGCAGAAACTTTCCCCACTGACCTTCTAGGTTGTCTTTGGTGTTCATGGGTTGAGAAGTCTGGAAACTGCTGCAGCTGCCCACAGTTCAGTCCTCTGAGACCTGCTCCAGGCTCTCTGTGGCCTGCATACCCACGCCAAACTGTACTCCTCTACCAGCCCGGTGCAATATATCTTTCTGATCAACCATCCAGGTTGTCTTGGGCTGGAAATTTGTTTTGCTCTGTCTTTTTGTGGGTTCTGCTGCTTTAGAATTTGTTTAGAGCCATTTTTTATGGGTATTTGGAGGGGTTTGGGAAAGAGTTCAAGGAAGTCACCACTTTCCCTCCGCTATCTTGGCTCCGCCCCTCTAGTTTACATTTTTTTAATTATTAGTGATTTAGAGCATTTTTTATAAGGCTGTTAATAGCTTTGATTCCTTCCTCTGAAAACTGCCTATTCATAAAAGTTAACCATTTATCCTTTGGGGAATGGCTCTTATTTTTATAAATTTGGCTGAGTTCCCTATATATTCAAGAAATGAGGCTTTATCAGTGAAACTTGCTGTGAAATTCCTGCCCCCCTCCCTAGTTTCCTACTTTCCTTCTAATCATGGCTGCATTGGTTTTGTTGTGGAAACCTTTTTAATTTAATCCGAAGTATCCATTTTACCTCCCATGATTATTTCTATCTTTTGTCTAGTCATGAACTCTTCCCCATCCATAGGTTTGACAAGTAATTTTTTCCACGTTCCCTTAATTTGCTTATAATGTCACCTTTTATACCTAAAGCCTGCGCCCATTTTGAGCTTATCTTGATATATCATGTGAGGTGTTGGTCTCTGTCTAGTTTCTGCCAGACTGCTTTTCGCGTTTCCCAGCAGTTAGTTAGTTCTTGCCCCAACAGCTGAGATATTCAGGTTTACTGGATGCTACATTACTGTGTTCATTTTCTCCTGCATATCATGTGCCTAATTAATTCCGTTGATCTAATACTTAATTTCTTATCCAGTGTGCTAAGTGGTTTTTTAAATATTATCCCTTTTAGCCTCACAACCACCCTGGGACACAGGTGCCATTATCATCCCCATTTTATAATTGAGGAAACGGAGGCAAACAGAGGTTAAGTGACGAGGCCAAGATCATGCAACTCGCACCTGTCTTAAGGCAGGATTTGAACCCAGGTCTTCCTGACTCTGGGTCCAGTGCTATCTATTGTGCCATTGGCTGCCTACATTGCCTTATATATTTTAATTATTTTTATTGCTTTCACCCGGGGCCCAGAAGTGATGATAATAATGACCTAAGGAGAGTTGTAACAAGAGTTTTATCCATTTCTCCTTTCTATCCTTCTATTGGAAATTCTAAACAAAGAGAAATAGGTTGTTGAGATACCAGGAAAATGGTAGAACATGGGCATGGGCATGAAAGTGCCTAGAGTTACCCATTTTCTCTTCCTTGGTCTTTGTGAGAGACTTTTTGTCATCCATTCTTTCCTAGACATGGAAGAAAAAAAGCTTTTACTACTCCCACTCTTGACACCAAGAACTTTGGAGAGAACCTTGTGGGCTGGACTACAGTCTCCATGGGGAGCTGGGATTGGACCAGGAACTAGAGCATCCAATCAGGAACCAGCATATGAAGAGGCAAATACGAATGTTCTGATTAGCTGGGAAAGCTTCTGAAAACCTCAGTGGCTACTGAGAAAGCTAGGAGATTTATTCACTCTCCCCCCTCCTTCACCTCAATGTTCTAGTCTAGGACATGGAATTGGGCCTTAGATGCCAGTAACACTCCCTCACCTCATTTCCATGACCTGAGGGTATAAGAAAAGGGTCTGCAACATAGGCTTTCATTTTGGAGGTGCCCAAACATAGCATAATGTCTCAAAAAAAGTTAGTATTTTCGGTCACTTTTTGAAAGTTTGTATTTTTAAAGCAAATTTTAAATCTTAAAATTAAGTTAGTTTCATTTTAGTTTCTTTAGTTTGATGAATAAAGTTAGCATCCTTTATGAATGGTCAATGAATGTCCATCTAAAAAAAAATTAAACCAAATTCCTTGAGTGCCCATCTTAGTGAATTGTGCTATGCCTGCCTATGGTCTGGGATAGGTTTAAGCAGCCATTCTTAGGCTATTTTACATATACTTTATTCTTGTTAAGCAAACTATGTAAGTTGCCTGCAGGTTTAATGTAAAAATAGAGTGTTGAGACTGAGGCAGGAAATCTCCCAGATGAAGAGGAAAGCCATAGAATTTTTTTTTAACATTTTTATATTTTTGAGCTATATTTAATATCAATCTCTAGGCTAGAATTCAGAACACAATCAGGGGAGGGTTGCTTTCTTCTCTGGCTTGTTAGGAATATGAGGCTTATACATATGTAGTGGGGAAGACCTCTAGAACATGTGTCAGAGAGACCTGGATAAGACCATTAACTAGGCTGTATACTATCAACTGGTGGATGAGTTGTAAATAAGTTTTACCTCCTTGAGTGTTAATTAATAAAATGACATTTCATTTTTTGTTAGACTTGTAGAAGACTGCACACTAGCCATTGTGAGCTGCTATTGTTACTTCAGAACCTTAGGTCACAGAAGAGGCACATCTAGTCTATTCCTGCATCCCTGTAATCCGTACTCAATGATCTCCAGGTGAGTAATAATAAAAACATGGTTGATCTTCTCATCTGTTGGTAATTTGCTCCCTTTCTGGACCAGAACCAATGCTTTTCCTTTCCAACTACAGTTCAACCACAAGGAGTGCTTTTGATAAGAAGACAAATAACTCTCAAACTCCTCTGCCAGAGAAGTGTGAGCCAAATGGCAAACTTAGAGAGCTGTTCAGCATGGCACAATGGGAAGACCACTGGCTCTGAGGGTTGAGAACCTGGCTTCACAGCTTACTTCTGGTCCACACTGCCTGTGTAACTTTGGGCAAGCCATCTAACCTCATTAGGTCTCAGTTTCCTCATCTGTAAAATGAGTAGGTTGGACTAGATGACCTCTGAATTCCCTTCTCACTCTAGATCTGTGATTCTGTGATGCTATGAACTGAATAGATGGAATTCAGGTTACTGGGCATCACTCTGGGAGATGATGCTGTGTATTCCCTATGGGGGTTAGGCAGTAGAGGTAAAGTGAACAAACTGGATTTGTTCTTTTCAAGGTGGATCTTCACAGCATGGATTCATTCAAATATTAGGAATCATCAGGTACACTAATCTTCAAGCCTACATGGTAGTTTGGAATACATCTGTCCTTTCTAGCTCTAAAATCTATTATCTATGAGTTCCTTGTTCCTGGGGTGACTAGACAGTAGTGATAGATATAATTAGTTGTAAGGGTAGGGTGCAGTGGTGGGGTTTGGTTGTGATGACCTTCAGAACCACCATTTTTGATAGTCCAATTGTCCAGAGAGATGGATGGCCTACCACTGGGTTTTTAATAGCTAGTCGAAGTAGAGAAGAGGTCACAAAGGGACAAACTTGACTCTTCTTGGAGGCTCCAAGAGATTGTCTTTTGTATATGCCTCCTCATCACTCATCTGAAGGACTGCCTGAATTATGAGTAGCAAGCAAGGAAGGAGGGAAACAAGCACCTATTATGTGCCGAAGGAAACAAGCACCTACTATGTGCCAGGTACTGTGCTAAGTGCTTTACAAACATTATCTCATTAGATCCTCACAACAGCCCTGGGAGGTAGGTGCTACGATTATCGCCATTTTATGATTGAGGAAACTGAGGCAGATAGAGGTTGATTGACTTACCCAAGATTATACAGCTAATAAGTATTTGATACCAGATCTGGACTAAATTCTTCCTGAGTAGGACAGGAAGAAGGAGGTCCTGATGGAAGAAGGCAGTGGTAAAGCTGATTGTAGCAAAGCAGCAGAGCCAGAGTGAGGTGTATATGTGCCTGAAGTTACCTTTAAACATATGGTGCAGGGGTTTTGTCATCCAAGTATACTCCAGATTACCTGGACAGGAAGAGGAAACAGATGAGGAGTCCAGGACACAAGCCTGGCATGGAGGGATGACATCGTAGTGATTAGGAAACCGTGAGTGTCCAGATATCTGTATCTAGAGTGCATTGGCATGGTGGGAAGGTGACCAGAGTGCAGCTTAGTGGGGAAAGGGCTGGTTAGACATAGTTGTTCAGTTGTTTCAGTCATGTCCAGCTCTGTGACCCCATTTGAGGTTTTATTGGCAAAGATACTGGAGTGGTTTGCCATTTCCTTCTCCAGCTCATTTTACAGATGAGGAAACTGAGGCAAATAGGGTTAAGTGACTTGCCCAGGGTCACCCAGCTAGTAAATGTCTGAGGCTAGATTTTAATTCGGGAAAGTGGGGTCTTCCTTACTCCAGGCCTGGCACTCTATTCACTGCACCACCTTGGCTGCCCAAGTTAGACATGATAAATTCTCATTATTCATGAAGCCCAGACTCTGGCATAGGAGCTGGAGGGGCAGTCTGAGGTAGGAGTTTGGGGTGGCACCAGCCACAGAGGAGCAGCATAGATGGAAGACAGCTGCAGTATAAATAATAATTTCTCCCTAAGGTCCTTGGTAGCCCATGGAATGTAAAGTATTCTCACCCACATCTTCTGCTTGGCGTGCCTCATCTATCTAGTTCTTCTGGGGCCATCCAGTGAATCATCTTCAAGTTTTTCTATATTTTAGCACAAAGTTAGCTCTTAGCACCAGATGAACTAGAGGTGGGGAGAATGAGAGTGAGAGTGAGAGGAAGAACGAGAGCAAGAGAGAGAGAGAGAGAAGAGACAGAGTGAGACAGAGACAGAGACTGTTAACAGAGACTGTTATAGATCCTAGAGGTGGGAAAGAATGAGAGTGATTCTCCTAATTTGGGGGTAGAGAGGGGCTTGCCGCTGGATTGGAATGGCTGCGGGACTTAGAAAGAGTTAAGTAATATCTGCTTCTGGCTCCTGGGGTATGATTTCTCTGGATCTCTTATAGTACCCAAAGCTCCCTACAAAGGCCTTCCCTTCCTTGGAATCCGTCCTGCTCCAGGACTATGACTTTTCCTTTATCGAATTAACACTGCCAAGGAGACTTCCAGAACATAGAGGAATGAGTAGCCACAGCAGAGCTCCCCTCCACATTAACTCTAAATAGCAACCACAGAGAGGCCAGGAAGAAATGTGGACTCTAATAACAGAAGAAAAGCAAAAGAAAGCTGGAAAAATAATTAAGAAAAAAATAAACCCACCCCCCAGACCCTAAAGGATGGGGACTAGATGTGATCTCATTTGCACTGGGAGCTCCTAGAGGGTGAAACTCCTTCTACTAATGCAGATTGGCACTTCCTTGAAACTCAGAGTCTTAAAGAACTGCCTAGAGCACTGAGAGCTGAAATGATTCACCCAGGGTCATATAGCCAGTATGTGTCAGAAGTGGGATTACCTGTATCTGACTGGTTTTGAGGTTGGCTCTCTCTCTCTCTCTCTCTCTCTCTCTCTCTTTCTTTCCTTCCTTGCTTCCTTCCCTCCTTCCTTCCTTCCTTCCTTCCTTCCTTCCTTCCTTCCTTCCTTCTTTCCTTCCTTCCTTCCTTCCTTCCTCTCTTTCTCTTTCTCTCTCTTCATATACACATACATCTATATTATGCTGTTATATTATATTATTTATTATTATTATATACATATTATTATTATTATTTTATACTTTGCTGATTCTCAAATGGATGAAAAAAATCTTGTAATACAAGAAAGCAGTGAAGTAACTAGGCTGCCAAGGAAATATAAGCAGAGGAAGAAAGAAAGAGAAAACCTTGGGAAATGCTGACAAACCGGAAAGAAACCTCCACAACCAAAAAGGGCAGAAAGATGAAGAAAAAGATCGAGGGCTTAGCAAACAACAACACCACAGAAATTAAGAGATCCTTAGAGGCATCAAAGAACGGAACAGAGGCCATGGAACAGTCAACAAGGACATATCAGACATAATTCCAGAATTTGACAAGATTATGTAGACAGAAAAATAGCAACGATGCCATCAAAGTGATTGAGCCTTGAAACCAGGTCAAGATTATCAAAACTGTAAGTAAGAGCTCTGTGACCATGGACCAGGCATATAACCTCTCTAAATCTCAGTGTGCTCATCAGTAAAATGAGGATAATAATAGCATCTACATCATAGGATTGTCCTGAATGAAATAGCATACTTAAAGCAATTAGCAAACTGTAAAACAGCTCATGTAAAACATCAACTAAAATAAGATGTCTTCCATAAGAAAAGGAGAAAGAAAGAAACTGTGATATGGTGATGGAGAAAATTATGGAATAATATGGAGGGATACAGACTGAACTGACGGACAAGTAAATGCAGCACAGGCATTGAAATACTGAAAAATCCTAAATACTAAATCATCTGCCTTCAGGAAGCTTTCTCTGATTAACACTATCTGAATTTTCTAGGCCAGCAATACTAACCCTGACCTATTTTGCCTCTCCAGTGAAACTCTAGCTTGCTGTATTTCAATGTGTAATGTAATTGCACCTCAACTCACATGTGGGTCCTTCCCCAGACCCACCACCTCACATTCCTGGTACTCTGTGGGTCAATTTCCACTCAAAATCTGTAAAATGAGGGGCTTGGAGGATGGCCTCTGAGATTCCTTCCAGTTCTTTGTCGATGAGCTTATGAAAAATCATAACTCACAAGTAACCTCTGCATGTTTGCCTTTATCAGTCAGCTGGAGGATGAAACTACAAAATCACAGCAAAGGCATTTCATTAAATAGCACAATAAGAAAAGTGGCAAACGTTTTCCTGATATAACTGGGGTTTGCTCTCCCACAAATATATAATCAATTAGAAGATTCAACATGCTGAAGGATCCTGTGTAGAGAGACACATATGTAGGGGATACATGTCGCCAGATACATGATTGGAAGGGAGCATCCTCCTCTAATACTGAAGGTCTCTGATGATGAAGGTCTCTGGTGATGTCACTGAGCTGCTCTCAACAGAACCTTCTCCTGGTTGATCTCCTATGGTGTGTAGCTTCTACTAGGCAAAGCTCCGCTTTTCTCATGGCCATTGTTAGGCATTACTCTGCTGCATACAGGGTTCTCTCTTTTTCTAGCATCTAGCTTTAGATAGAATCCAAAGCTTCTCTTCCTCATAAGAGGGGGAGTAGTCTGTGTATTCTGTATTTCAGCTTATAGCCTAGAGGTTTAAACTTTAATTCTTTTAGTGGGAGGACAAGCCCTAGCTGCTTTTTTCCCTATAAAGAAAGGTCTGTCAGTTTTCTGAATTTAGCTTAATTATTTTATTTAGGAAAGCCTTGCCTCAAGAGATAAAGTCCTTTTGGTACACAAAATATCTAGCCAGCTAACAGAGCTATTTGGCATTTAATCTTTGATCCTTGCTCTCCTGCTTATCGGGGACAATGTCTCTGTCCCAGGCCTTTATCTGACTTGGAGTCAGAAATCCTCTGTAGCTCCTGTTTAATCTCTTTTGGGAATCTTGTGCCATCAAATCCTTTTGTGAGGGGAGAGTTGGCTCCAACAAAGAAACTGGGTTATCTCAATTTTACTTCAGCCTAAGAGCTTTTGGGTCTCCCGTGCAAACAAATAGGAGTATGGGGAAGTAAGAAAAAGTCAGGTAGAACCTCAGCTAAATAGAACCCTTTCCC